GTCGTTGACCGGACTTGTTATCCGGATGATTATTGACCGGATTTGTTGACCGGACTTGTTGACCGGATTTGTGATGATGTTTTGTGTTTTTAAAAAAAATTGTTATTTTATCATAAAAATGAAGTTTTGATCTAAATGTTTTCAGACTAATATCAATTCCAATGACTGCGGTCTATTCGGAATTATTTTATAAATGTTTTGATGAAGTGATAAGGGTGGCATATCAAGGAGAGGTGTCCATTTGGTATAAGGGTGGCATATCAAGGAGAGGTGTCCATTTGATATAAGGGTGGCATATCAAGGAGAGGTGTCCATTTGTTATATGGGTGGCATTGTCTGTGTGTGTGGTATTATATAACACTTTCTATTATATCCCTTAAGACTACCGTGGTCTGGAATCTTTATTTCTTTGTGATTTAAAGATTTATGATCAAGGTTCTTATTGGAAATCATAGTCTGGATGTTATTGAGAAGGAAACGTCAGGTTTGGCCTGAATCTTTGTTTAAACGTTATTTGATAAGAAAAGGTTTGAATTGATATTAAATGGAACCCGATTGGTTCAAAGGTATGAAATTTGTATAGCTACGTGGTTAGCTTGAAAGTAGAAAAGGATTTGGTATTACCTTCTTGCGTATTCATATATTTGTATATATGTGAATAAGTTGTTTTATAAAGGTTTTGGTGATCCTTCACCCTGCAATTACATGAATAGGGTATCTCACTAGACTTTTCAGTCTAACCCTCGTTTTTGTGATTTTAAATATGTATTGCAGGACATGTGGAAGGTAAGGGAAAGGAAAAGATTTAATGCTTTTTCTTATATGCATTTCGGATGAAGAATTGTTTTTTATGATTAGTTTTGTTGTTTAGTACAAGATATGTATTTTTGAATTTTTGGACCTTGTATTTGGTCACGATGGTAGATTCTTGTACTAAGGGACCCAGATGTATATGAATATGTATTTCTTTGGTATGGAATACGTGTTACATGCAATGTGTGGGTTGGGGCGTTACACCAACAGTTGAGGAATACAAATTTATATGCACATGTGTGACTCTCATCCCCATAGGTATATAGCAATGTTGTCAAATTTCCTACATACACTTTTTCAAATGAAAGCTTCACACATGGGGTCTCTTGTTTCCTAAGATATCGTATCCAACAACAAAGGCTGACACTAATAAATATGATATTTGCATACAAAAACAAAACTCAACTTATAAAAATAACCATGGATATTGCAAATAAGCAAGAATATAGTTAGTAAGTAGAGCGACAATATAGAAGCATTTGTGCAATTTTTTGCTCCAAGTGCACAAATGCTTCTATAATTTTATGATTAGAAAAGAAAAACTATTCATATCGTTGATGTGTGAATTATTTCTCCATATCTTTTAGGGTGAAGCAACTTGTGGAAGAGCTAGGTAAAGTGGGAAACTTCACAATATGTCGTATACCTATCGGGATGAGAGTCACACATCAACGATATGCATATGTAGATCTGTATTCCTCAATTGTTGGGGAAATTTGTGAGTTATAATTCAATTGGGATTTCCCCCAACAGTTGAGGAATACAAATTTATATGCACGTGTGTGGCTCTCATCCCAATAGGCTTACGAGCAAGAGCAAGATTCACCATCCTCAGTTACTCTTGGTTAACATTGTTGGTCATGAAATTGGATTGTTGGTAAACGTCTTTGACCTGGTAACACATTTACCAGGTAAGAGTTTTCTCCCTCATTTACGAGGTAAGATTTTTGATACTTGTCATTCTCACCCGGTAAGGTAAGTGAGTGACACCCAATAAGCAGTTACCCGTAACCATTTGTTAAATGGTCCCTAAGTTGATAAATTGTCATATATATATATATATATATATATATATATATATATATATATTTCCCAAAACCTGGCTTTATCTTGCATTTAGCGATTTCAGTATTTTATAGCAAACATCTCCTCATCTGTTAAGCCAACTTGGTTGCACGCCAAGGGATTTTTATTTATTTATTTGACGTACATATTTGTGTGTGTGTGTGTGTATATATATATATATATATATTAGAGGACCACCTTGATCAAAAATTATGACTCACGCATTTAGCCACTCACACCAATAAGTCTATCGTTTTTAGGGTTTATTTATTTTCACCATTTGTAAACAAATCACATAATATGTCTAGTGATTTTTGCCATTTTCTTAAGCAAATCATATCATAAATTTTAATAAGAAATCATATAGGTTCTCATATATATATATATATATATATATATATATATAATAAAAGTTTCTTTATGTTTTCAAGATTACATTAAAATTTGGCAGTTGGGCAGAAGAGAGATTACGTTGGGCAGATTTGGAGGATCGTGTAATAATAGGAGTTAAGGTGAAAAATGTTAGAAAGAGTTTGGACATTTGATAACTATTAGTTAGTGTTGATCTAATAGTTCAGATTAAGTCCGAAAATAACCCATGAATTAGGTAGAAGGGTATTTCCAATTGATCTTCAATTAGAATTGATTGAATGGTGGAGATCTCTTCTTACTATATCCTTCTCATGATAACTGTTATTATTCTTACCAGAAACCAACTTGGGCAGACTTCGGAGGTTTATATAATGTTTTTGTGTTTTATATGATCTCACTAATTAGTTATCTTTTAAGTATTTAGCAAAGTAAAAACAAAATTACTAAATTGGTTGATTTGGTTAGGTCCAAGTTTAAGGTTCTCATACAACGGCTGATTTGCCGAATGTCCGCCAACCCTAGAAGAGTGCTCCAGAACGTGTTAACCACCGTCAAAGACATACACAAAAATCTATATCCAACACAAAGATCTTTTTCCAAAACGCAATCTAAAAACATATTGCAAGTTACTCAAGGTACTCATGTAGTTTTGTTGGTTAAGACCATCTCTAATGGGTTCACCCCGTTTCTTACACCAAATTTCTTGTGCTAATATGTTTATCGATATGAGCCAACACTCCAATTTGGAGACCGTTTATTTAATACTTACACGGTAAGTGCTTACTGTATCATTTTACCTTACCGGATGAATGTGACAAGGATCGAGAATCTTACCTGGAAAGAGCGATGCAAGTGCAGAGTTTTACACTGTAAGTGAGGGTGACTATTTATGTCCGGTCAACGCTAAACAGATAAATTGTTGTATAGAATGTTGCTTTAATTAATTATTGGTAAGCGCTTACTTTACATGGTAAGATTGTAGTATATCAAAATGGTACTGCATGCAACAATTTATTGGTAAACATTTAGTAAATGCCCATTAGTATATAATTTTGCCCATCCAAAGAAAGACACAAAACAACGAAAACAATAAAACCGTGAGTCCACGTGTGTGAACAATTATGCATGCTTTTGATTTCATTCATATCATTATTAGGAATTTTCATTTCTGAAAGTACCTGCAAAAGGAGTAGAAGTCTAGATTGTCGAAATTATTAACAATTTCAATAGTTACTCCTTCCGACCCCAAAAAGAGTGTCAACATTTCTTGTTTAGTTTATCCCAAAATAAGTGTCTGACTTCCCAATTCTACTATTATGAGATGAGGAAATTCGGTACTCCCTATGCTACAATTGTCATTGGTTCAAATTAAAAAAAATGTAATAGTAACATATTTCTAAAACATGTGATAATTAAAAATTGTCATTTAAGATTTTGATTTGACATGATTAGTTTAGTTATTAACCAATTTTTGTGGGACAAAAAATGTATTTTGTCTCTCTCAGTCTTATCATATCCCAATTTTTCATGTCCAACGTACCAAATGCATCTTAAAGCAACAATATAAATTGGGACAGTGTTCAAGTCCCTAAATTAGGTAGGCACGAAATCGGGATTTGCCATAATTAAAGAAACGGTTCGAACATCTTTCTACGATTATATTGAATAAGCAAGTGGAAAGTGAATGTAGAGCTTCTTTAAAGAAGATATTGTAAATGCAACAAATTTCTATGAAACTACATAAAGGATCACTAATTAGCTTGAATTACAAGTGTTTGTGCACACTACAACAAAATTGATTTTATAGGACGCCTAAAATATAAAAGCGTCCTAAAAAATACTTATAGGAGTTAAGTTTATAGGACCAAACCAAAAAGCGTCCATCTAATAGTGTTACAATAGGTTTATGAGACATTTTTAGACGTTTTAACAAAAAAATTAGAACACTTTTAAAATAAAGTGTCATATTTTACTATTTTATACGACACTATAAAAAGGTAGTTTACAGTATACTTCTCAAAAGTGTTCTATTAGCTAATAAGACACTTTAAAAACATCATATATAAACCTGTTGTAACGCATTCAGATAAGACTCTTTATAGTTTGGTTCTCTGAATCGCTAAGAAGTGAATCTTGTTTGGTAAAAAATAGATGTCCGTCTCTTGATGGTTTCAAAACTCTCTGAATGATTTTGCATCTTGGACCTCCTGAACCATTCAGTGCCATAATTTCATGTTGAACAATCACCGTCCAATTATATTTCATTTTGCATTATATCATAAGAACCTCTAAATCATTCGAACCACTTAATCATTCAAACCACTTAATCATCTTGCACAAAATTCATTTAGCAACTGCTAAACAATCCTAGAAGTATCACTAACAGATTTTTTAAAATTTTCATTAAAACGAAGGACCAAATTTTTCAAAATCTTAAAAAAAATTACGTTCAACTCTAACAGCTTTTAAATTTTGGACATCAAAATATTGATTATATGATTAAAATATTCCATACATTTAATGAAATATTATTTCTATCTCCTAAACAATTAATCTCGGTTAGTTGGAATATAATAAAAATAAAAATCAAGTGGGATTTAGAGAAAAAATCAAGGAGAAAGGGAAGAAATGCTATGATTTAACAATGTTTGGCAAAGATGCCTACCCTTCCAGCAAGGTTAGAGATTTTCATTATTAATCAAAGCAAAAAGAGGAATATTTTTTTTTCTTTATCAAAATGGAACGAACAGTGAAAAAAAATATCAGACATTCTAATCGTAGAACCGGTTCGACATAGCATGCATCCAGTTAATCTCGATACAAGATTTTGAATCATGTGTGATCTCAATAGGTTCTGTGTCCCAAAACTTTGAGGAATTTGTTGTATGTTTGACTCTTTCTATTGGATCACCTTTACTTCTAGGAACAAGTTCGACTTTTACGCAAGTACCTATTTTTATGGAAAATGAAATGGTACTGTGTGTTGACTTCCACCATGAGGTATGCCTCAATGAACCGAAGGATATATATATATATAGCACCTGTATACCTCATCCCGTGTCTTCTCGGGAGTTCCATCAGACACCTCCAAAATATCTTCATTTTCCCTACCCATTACGTCCTCGATAGTAATTACATCACCGAAGATATTAAACAGCATTTTAACTTTAATGAATATTAAGAATCCACTGAATTCGTTGTACCAGTTCCTAGGAAGCTCTAACATTGATCTTATCCTTGCATAGTCTTCTAATCGAATGTTATCACCTTTGAAAGAGAGACTGATGGAGTTATCTTTAATGGAATTTCCCTATCATGATGAATATTATTTTGTTTTAGTCTACATATACAAATTAATTAATACTGAAATTCAACAACAAGACATACAGAGTCATACCTGAAGCATGGATTGTACTTTTCTCTCCATATCACCCAATATACAATTCATTGGAAGTGAGATTCTCCATAACCATTTAAGATCTGGTGGAAGATCTACAAGTTTAAGCTTTTTGCACCCATATGCTTGGAGAACAGCTATGCTTGATGGGAGATCTGGTAATTCTACAAGGTCACAACAATATGACAGGTTGAGGACCTTGAGACTACAAAGTTGCAAGAGGCTGCAACGCAATCGTGAAAAAACATTTTGGTGTAGATTTAATACTTGTAGTTTGGATAACTCGCAAAAAACAGATGAGATGTCTCCATTTATCCAATCGCACGAGACAAGATGCAACCTTCTTAAGGAAGGTGGAAAACTAAGAAACTTCATGCTTACGATGCATGGGTGAAGATTCTTGAAGGATGTATACCTTAAATCAAGCACCTCTAAACAACATCTTACATCAAAGAGGCCCTCTGCTGGTATCTTAAGCTCTTTACATCCAGCGATAGAAAACCTTTTCAAATGTTTTAAGTGATGGAAGTTGCCTTCAATACTCTCTAGACTTTCGCAAGATCCCAAATCAAGAGAAAGAAGGTTGGTACAATACTTTCCGAATGACGAGGGTACAACTTTTATTCCAGTTCTGTCCAAAGAAAGCTCTACCATGTTATCCATGTTCGTTTGGATCTCCGGAAACATGCAAAGTTGAAGGCAACAAGAGAGAATAAGAGTCTCCAACTTTGTCATCCCTCTGATGGGTGGAAACTTTTTAAGGTCGGTACAAAAACTCATGTCCACGTAAATAAGCCTTTCATGACATCCAATTGATGGATGAACATCTGTTAAATTGACACAACCGTCGAGTTTTATTCTTTCAAGACATGGAAGTCCGTCAAAATCTAGTGTCCTGATAAGGTGTTGGGAACCACTGAGGTTGAGCACTTTCAAATTTGGCAGATGCTGTTGTATACAATTACACACAAGTCAACGATGGCAAAATACTTTTTTAGTAGCATAGAGTGTTGAKAAGCTAGGATACACAAAGATAGAAAGTAACTAATACAAATTAATTATATTATTCCATAAACAAATTAAAATGGGGCATGTTATCCTCTTCCAGTTTTTGCAAAATGTTCGGAAAAAACCACCTATTAAAAATACACAATCACTTTTTATTACAACAGAATGCTTTAGTCACTACTTTATAATTCTTAAGAGCATTTATAATTATGAATAACATTTAGTTCTTTTAGGAAACTTAAAACTAAATTAGATTTAAAATAGAACACAAATATCATTGCTTAGTAATTAAAAACTTATATAAAGTTGCCTAAGGACACCGATATTCAACCACATCAACTTCATGCACCGTTCATACAAGTAAATAGACTATATTATGTAAATTAGTTATATTTATAATTTATCATCCACTTTGCTTAATTAGATAAACAATAAGAATTACCTTATAACCCTTCCAAAGTTGCTTTAGCGAGCTCAATTCCAACCCTAGATAAAATAGGTTCGTTGATTGAAAATTTCCTGGCAATGAAGTTGCTTGATATTGAGAGCAAGAAATCCACCGAAGTTCCTTCATGTTTGCAACAGCACAAAGAAGATCTGCCGCCTTCTCTTCCTCCCTTTGCTTACACACAAACTCAGTTGTTATTGCTTCAATCTTGTCATTTTTCTGTAATAGAGAAACAAAATGTTGTTAGGGTTGATTTAGGCTATATCTTTATGGGTATACGTATATCATTCATGGCATATATAACTTATATAGGAGGCTAGCTTAAACATTACAGTCGGCGTAGCACATATTGTTAAAACATCCTCCCACTTCCAAACCCTGCTGTGTTTTTCTGGATTTCGGGGGTTTTTTCCTCGAACGATGTAGTGTCCCATTTCTTGTATCAGATCATGCATATCAAACCATCCTTCTTTTGTCACAGTTATGAGAGCCTTTTGTATCAGCACCCTTACCCCTATTTTAGGGTGAAAACCACAAGCTTCGAGTATCACCCACTTATTACGGTACCCGTGTCCCCTAAAAAAACATGCAATATCTAGGAACAACTCTTTCTCCTTGGCTTTAAGTCCATCAAAGCTAATTTTTAGCGTTTCCACTATGTCATCTTCAGGGATATCTTTTAGTCTGGCCAAGGCGCTCACCCACTCACTCTTGTCTTTGTCACAAAGAAGTGAACCCAAAACCTTAAGTGCTAACGGGAGCCCACGAGCATAAGAAACAACCTCATTCGAAAGACTTTCATAATCTCCTATATGGTTACCATGCCGAAATGCATGCTTGCAAAAGAGCTTCATAGCCTCGTCGTGACTTAACAAGCTAATATCATATATCACATTTACTCCATGAGTATTCAGTATATGTTGATCTCTAGTTGTGATTATAATTCTGCTTCCTTCATTAAACCAATCACATGATCCCGCCAATGCCTCTAGCTGGTTAGCATCATCGACATCATCAAGAACCAGCAAGACCTTTTTACGACGAAGCTTACTCTCTATCAACCTGCTTACATCTCCAACTACTTCCTCTTTTTTTTGTTTCAAAACACATGAGAGAATTTCTTTTTGCAATTTTTTCAAACCATGTCTGCGTGATTCTTCCCTAACGTTACTCATAAAGCAGAAACCATCGAACTTGCTGGAGATTTGATCATAAGCAGCACGTGCAAGAGTAGTCTTACCACCACCACCAAGCCCCCATATTCCAACCATCAGCACACCTTGCGAATCGATTGCTAACTTTGATTTAAAATCTTGCAAGCGATCCTCCATTCCAATCAGGTCTTGATTGTCACTTGGAATTGCCGTACACAATCTTTTTAAAATTTCTTTAACAATATTTTTGATGAATATTGTCTCGGGCCTGGACATTGGATATACAAATATAATTAACAGCATATGCTCTAATTGAGAAAAAAACCATTAAACAAGGAAAATGAGTCTAAGGGGCTGTTTACTAAACGCTTATTCGGTAAGTGCTTAGTAGTCAATTTTCCTTATCGGATAAAAATGACAAATGTCGAGAATTTTACCCGAGCGATGATAAGGATGAAGAGTCTTACCTGGTAAGCAAGGGTAACGACTCTTATCCGGGTAAGCACTTACAGGGTAAATTGTTATATTGTTTTGATGTACAACAATCTTACCCGGTAAAATAAATTATAATGTTAACTCCTACAACACGTAAGCACTTACCCGGATAAGCATTTGGGTAAATAACACCTAAGTACTTTTTAGATTTCATAAAGAGAAACCGACCAAAATAACCACTTTATTCGACAAAATTCATTATGAAATTTTGGCTCTGCAAGTGACTCATCGACCCCTCAAGTTTGACCCAATTTTTGAATTATTAGGGAATATGGGGCATCACTTACGGAATTGATGATATTTTGAAAACATTATAAAAAAATGACTATTTTGTTCAATTTCCCTTTCATTAATCCAACCACCACTTAAATATAGATTTTTTTAGTGGATTTTTATAATTGTATGGAATATTGGGTTGTAATTGTTCTCTAAAAACATGAAAGGATTTGGGTTTATCCTTTGAAAGCTTATATGGTACAAGTATAATTGTGAAGCATTAATTATATTTTAAAAATCAAAAAAATAAGATCACCCATTGGAGACATGTCCAGATAGGTTCCCTGCATCTGCAAGTGCCTTTCTCCAGGATTCAACGTTTCTCCTCTCATACTCGTGTTTGGCAAATGCTTCTCCGTATTTCCTTTTTTGATTTCGGATTTCCGAGGGATCAACGTGATAAAATATGGGAATAACAAGTTGGTCTCTCTCAACCTTGCATTTCATGATATGTTCAAGTTCTTGCAAGCACCAAGAAGAATGGGCATAGTGTTCAGAGAATACAACGACAGCAATCTGTGAGTCTTCAATAGCATTCAAAAGTGATGGACGGATGGTTTCGCCCCGAGGAAGTTCTTCGTCATCCTTGAAAGTGCCGATTCCTTGTTGTA